ATCCTTGGAAGGCTGCTGTTGGAGGATGTACGTACGAGTCTTAATTGGTGCACACCCAGAGTTCTGTAATTAAACCAATAATAAATCAGTTTCTCAGTTAATGAGAATGGCTGAATTTGACAGTTGACACACACACACACACACACACACACACACAACTAACTTTTGTTATCAAAGTCTCTTTTCACACAAACACACACCACCTTACCTTGCCTTTTTACTGCTTTCTCAGACAAATCCACACACACTGTAGCTTGCATAACACACACTCAGTCTGACTTTCTTCCTCTCTCTTTCTCTCTCACACACAGAGCGACACACACTTGGCAGGATGTGCGGGGAGAAAAAGGGGCCGAAAGACAACACCGAGATTAGGAGGCTTTTGTCACGGCTCTGTGGCAGACTTTAAAGGCCTTGGCTCCCTTCCCCTCTGCCAGATTTCTTTCTTTTCTCACCCTGTCTGTCCACATCCCTCTCTTTTCACGGCGGTGGTGGTGGTGGTGGTGGTGGGGGGGGTAAACATTTGGTATGGAGAGACGGAGAAAGGGAGGAAGGGTGGAAGGGAGGGATGGGTGGAAGAAGGATGGAAGCCGCCTGTTGCCCCCTTTTAGCCTCTTTTTTTGTGTTTTTGTTTTCCTAGTTTTAATGGCAGCTTTGTGGCTGTGTGGAGGATGAGTGTGGAGAGGGAGAGGTATGCAAACAGAACAGTGCTTCAATGCCAGCCAGGTGTCTGTGTTGTTCCCCCTCTGTGTGTATGTGAGTGTGCGCCATGCAAGCATCTGTGCTTTTGTGCGTGTGCAAACCTCCGTGTGTAGCTGTAGGCACACGTCGCAGATCCATTTTCAGCCTCTTTTCCGGGTGAGTGTGTGTATGTATCGGTATCTTTCGGGTTTCTATGAGAAGATGTGTGTTGTGTTTTTTTTTCCCCAGGTGCGTGTCTGTGTGAGCCCTTCATGGTCACTGACTCCATTCACCTGAGCCGTCCTTTCACGGTGAAAAGGCAGTTGTCGGTAAAAAAGCTCTTTGGACAGCTTCCCTTCATCACCAACCGCAGCTGCTGTTGACTCAAGCACCCAGGAATCTCCTCCATGGGTTCACACCCTTTTTAGCCAGCCAACCGCACACCAGAACCCACTCTGTGAGAGAGCAAAAGGCCCCGCAAGACCTCAAGGTCCAAAGGATTAAACATTTGCTCTGGCAATGGACAAGATTTTGTTGAACACAGCCATCTCCTTGACCAAAGGAAGTGTGGCTGCAATAGAGAAGAGTGCCCATAACTGTGATGGTTTACTTGTTCAAAAATAAATAGTGGTAGTAGTGTGCTCACCGGCTAGAGCAGCAAGCAAGGGATCCAACACCCAGAGAACACTGGACTTGCAAATCTACATTTTTACCTTTGTCTCTTTGGTGTCTATTGATATATGGTAATTACACGCACACCTCATTATTTCTGGTATTTGTAGTTTAAATTGTTGTGTCTCTGTGTCAAACAACCAGAAAACACTCGTAAAACACTTTTAAATTGCTGTATTAAACGCGTAATGAGGGTTCATGTCAAAAGAAAAGAAAAGAAAACAGTGACCTCAACCCAACAAAGGACTGATCCTTCATCTCAACAGCTCAGGAATGTCTTCGGTCAATTCACACCCTCCTGCTCATCCACACAGCGGCTCACGATAGAGCACATTTTTCCTTCATGAAAAATCTTTTTTGGTAAACCTTTTTACCTTTAATTAAAGCATCTCTCTGCCAAACAACAACAATAATCAACATTTCTTCTGTTCAGATTACTCTGTAATATCCCTGTTGACAGAGGGAGGAAGGGTTCCAGTAGATTTGCACTTGTCAGCTAAACCAACAACAGCCTTACTGGAAGTCTACCAGTGAGAAAAATGCAGTTTATAAAATGTGAAGACTACATGCGCCTCAAGGTTAAACTACAGACAATCTGCACTGACGTTTGATGCCATGTGAACTCAAAATAAAGTACTAGTAGCTCAAGGGTCACCTTTAAAACTGAACAATCTGAGGATATCTGACATGGATTCATATTTATTTACAACATTAATTAAACAACACATCTTGTGAAATTACCCACAGTCGACTTACAGCTCACATTAATTACATTGTGGATCGGTCAACAATGCTTTTGGTATTGATTTGAAAGGTCACTTTTAAAGTTAAATAAAACTACACAGTGGATGCTTCTGTGTGACTGACTAGATTATATTTTGTTTTTCTCTAAGAAATTAAAAGCTATTACTTGTTCGATTGCTCCTAAGTGAACAATTCTTTGATTCAAGTGTCCAAATAACAAATCAAAGTGGAGACAGATTGGACAGAAGGTATCGGGCCTTTGTGACGTTTCCTCTTCCCATCCTGTTCTGCACATTTCGTTCCCCGCTGTTTGACACTTCCACAGTTTTTCACTGATCTCCTCTCCATTTTTTCATCTCCTCTCATCACTGCTGAGCAGCAGTGAGCTCAACACATCTGTCAGCGGCTCCACTCTGTGTCATCCTCCTCCTCCCTGCCCCTCTTCATCTTTTCCTCCTCTCGTCTCTGTCCTCCCCATCTTCCACCCCCCTAACGCTTCAAGTCAATCAAACTCACGGGAGATAACCAGGAACACAGAAACGCAGGAAAAATACTAATCTCTGAGATAAGAGAAGAATGGGAGTTGAAGGTCAAGGATGGAAACAGCCTGGGAAAGTCATATATATCTTCTGCTCTTATCTCACATTTGTAAAATGTAGAATGTAAAATGTCCTTCACAGCTTTAAATCTAACACTTGCTATTTATTTATTACTAGTGAAGCTTACCAGATGTATAGAAATCAACATGATCCAGGATTTGTAAATCCCTGGGTTAGGTCATGTAGTCATGAGTAACTGTTGACTTTGCAAACATTTCAAAACCGCAGATTCCTGTGAGATGATTTGCTTCTTTGTATATTTTCAGTGTTTCTTTCTCAAACTTCTTTTCCTTTCCCTAGCCCCTGCACATACACACACACACACACACACACACACACACACAGGGGTCATGTCTGATCCAACTGAAATGAAATGTGGGGAAACAAAGAAGGCAAAGCAATTACAGGGTAGATTTTGGGGACGTTTCATTTTGCTTTTCCTTTGCTGTGAAGTAAAATTCTCTTCTAATTCTAGCAAATTAATAATGGCATTTTAATATAAATAAATGCCTGTTAGCTACCCATAATTTACTATTACAGTGCAATAACTTCACTGACTGAATTGAACCTTTATTGTTTTTAATACATCACATCAATTTTTTCACCTTGGAATAATCAGTGGAAGATTTTGGTGGACATCTGTTGAACCGATGGATTACTGTACAGGGTCAGGGGCACCTCAGCCAAAGCCTCTGTATGAAGTGGCCGTTATTAAAGCTGCACTTTTTATAATAAAAATGCATCAAATAACTACACATAAAGTGAAAGGGGTTGTTTGTAGTGACAAACCCACAGAGACTACATCTGACTGCAATTCCCACTCAGCACTGTGGTGCATTCTTTCAGGTCTTTTTTGTTTTTTAAGTTTCCAGGCACTGTACACTACCTGCTGATAAAAATAGGGTTCCTAGGAGATATTTGCACAAAAACATGACTCTAAATGAATGTTAATGTCGGCTGGATGTGTAAACTGGCAACTGTTTGCTAACGTGTTAGCTATATCGACTTTAGAATTTAACAATGTTAATATTTTGTTTATTGCTTGTTCTGCTGCCCCCAAGTGGCCAAAAAATGCACTAAAGTGATTTTTGTTACGTCAAAGAGCTAATTCAAAGATAATGATGCGCTGTGCTGTGACCAATTCAAGATCATCTAAAGATGTTTTGACAGTCTCTATGAAGAAAGAACATGTTACTAACAACCTGGCGAACTTAAAGAATACCATTTTAAGTCATTTATTTTTCTTATTCTGTTCCCATGCCCCGCCCTGTTGCCACCTCCACCCCTTTGCTGTGCCTCTTTCATCATCTTCTTTCTCCAAATGAGTCAGAGAGGGAAAGAGATGCTGGGCCTTCACACCCTGCATCTGCATGGACATGCGGTGCGATGTCCATCTGTCATCCCAGCAGACAGTCACGTTGACAGATGAAACAAATCACAATTGAAGGGCTACAACTATTTAGAGGACATTCACTTAAAAACAGTTCCGTGGTACAGTGAGGTATTGTACAGCATTGGACACGAATCTCTTCACACACAGAGAGAGACAGACCTGAAGGAAAAAACTACTGAAAAGACAATGATACATAGATTTGACTTTTTTAATGGCACCAATAACATGATTACAATGGGAGAAAACAACATTTTATCCTAAATGACAATAGCCTGTACAAGATTGTCGATACAAAGATTATCGATAAAGTTTCGTATAGTCCGTCTGAACGTATAAATACAGTATCTTACAATGACATGAACATGGTATTTGCTACATAGCTTACATTACTACTATAACACAAAATCCACTCATGCAGTATAATGCCCAGTTATATGAAGAAAATAAATTAGACACCTTTCTTTTTGAATATTGAGACAATTCAGCATTTATCATGTTTTGTGGGCCAATGTGTTGCTAGAGCTACTGAATGGTCCAACGCTTTCTCACTAAATTATCTAAAAGTATAATCTCAACACTAATATCATCCCATGTACATGCTAGTGCTAAGTGCACATATACACAGTCTGTCTACTGGCAGTCCATTAGCTTTGACACAAAAAAACTGGGATTAATGGGAAATGAATGAAAACAGGTAACCCAAGTGACGAGAGTTTTCACAGAAAAACTTGACTGAGGAAAACTTTACTGTTTGGAAACTTTTCCGCCCCTTAAACATGGGAAGAAAAACTTTACAATGAAGGAACACACTCCAGCTGTTCGGGGTGACTTTGTTAACAGATGTTTCAAAACAGAAAAGATGGGAGGACAAGAAGAACGCATGTTGAAGGGAGAGCTATTAATGCAAAGTTTCAAGACCTATTTTCAGTTCACGCTGTTTGTAGAGAGGGAAATAAATGAACATGTGTCTGTTTGGAATTGTACCATAATTATTATGATAAGCATATTCTTTGCTGTTCTGATGTACTTTCATTTGAACTTTACATGTATTTCAATTGTTAGATAGGAGAGGCTGCTGGAAAGATGAACAATAAATACAATATGGTCACAGGCTGTTAATTAATTTAGTGAAATTGTTTGTGCAGGTATACAAATGTGGCTCCTATTGTCTGAGGGCTGCATGCTTTGTCTTTCTTAAAAGTCTTCAGAAAGTGAAATAATACAAAAACAAAATCTCTGTGAGGGATTCAAAATATGCAAAGAAAGAGACTGGTGGCCTGACTGGTAGTTAGAGTCAAAGTTCTGGTCTGTGAATCATATGTGAATCATTTTGTACATTTACCTACTTAGGTTTAAAGATTTGTGCAAAAATACAGGCTAAGGAACGAGCATGTGCGTAACTAAAGTTATCAAGTGATTTCAATATATCACTTCCTTTCACATGGTTGTTGAAACACACCCTTGTAAAGGCTGTAAAGTTGTATTTAAGAGGGTCTGCAGAGAGACACTGCCTTAATACAAATGCAATGGACTACATGGCAAGCCCACAGTTGCTTGCATATTTCACATATACGTTCCTGCATTAAAAAACTAATCTTTTAATGTTTAAACATCTCCGAACAGAGTCACCCCACTGAGTGTGCCTTCAGAGATTGCTGTAATGTAAAACAGATGAAATGTAAATCTTATCTTGGCATATCATTCTACACAGTTTTTATTTAGTGGTCAGATTCACACACAGGAACAACAAGATGGACACCTGAGAAACAGCAAAAGGAAGTCTGTTGTACAGTAACTGGGAGGGTTTGGTTTCTGATGAGGTTTGGGTCAATAGCAGCGTTTCCACCACACCAACTTTCCCCAGAGGACTAGGAACCTTTGGAGGAACTCAATGTGTTTTTACCACAGGGACCAGGGTCTAAAATAAGTTCTGGGGCCATTATTTTAACCCCTAAAAGGTCCCTGTTTGGGGGTGTAGTACTTTTCAAAAATACAGGAAGCATACGACAGATGGACCAATGACATTGACGTTTTTTTGTTTTGTTTAATTGTTAAGTTGTGGACACTGTATATGAATCCACATGGTCTCTTTCATGAAAACATGGCTGATGTAAGTGATTTTATCACGTTTTAGTGTGAGGAAACTTCTCAATACTTACCAGAAGCAGTGAAAACACAAGTACAATGATAACTAAGTCATTGAAATACATAAGCAAACCAAGCAACAAGAAAAGATGTAAATCAGTCAAAACCAGTACTACATTGCTACTAGTTTGGCAGATGACTTTGATGCTTTAGTAGCTGCAGTTTTAAAAGGAATCTTTAGATTTTGGATTTTAGTGCTAGCGAAAAGAACAAGATCATCACCTAGTAAATATGACCTTAATCTCACATCCACTCTGTTCAACTTGATCTTACAGTGGTTTTGAAAACAGCTGATTCTGGGATCATTTATATAGTGTATGATTTGCTTTACTCATAGCAGCTGCTGGTGACCTCGTTTATAAATGAAAGGGACTGGAGAGCCACACAGGTGGTTTCAGTTTATCTGGCTGATGAGACCTCTGCTCAGGAGGAGCAATGTTGGAAATTGCCTTTATGTTTACCAATCTATGAATGAGAAGGATACAGTTGTACATTGTCTTACACTAAAAGGTGCAACAAAACTACACGAGAGTGAGGGAAATCTTAATCAGACGCACTTTGTACACACCCACACAGTCCTGAGAGGAAGTCTAATCCGCTAAAAGTTGTGAAAACACCTTTGAAGGTGTAACATGGTACCAAGTTTTAGATGTTTAGATTTTCTTAAAGTGGTCAATAACATTAGTGGTAAATATGCAGATACGTGAATAATATATGCAGAACTAAATATCCCAGACATATCTCTGAATGTATCAATGTATATCTTTGCCACTGTACAGCAATAAGAGCAGTTTATGGGGTTCTGTCAGTGGGTATTGCTAGAGTAATAAAAATAACGTTTGCACATTATATGGCTCTAAATGTTAGTGATAAAAATACTGATATTTGATTCCCATTATTTGACCTTTTTAGCATCTAGAATCTCTTGACTGCAACATTTTCCATTCTCTTGATCAGAGCGACAGAGGGCTATGCAGGTGAGAAGGCAGCCCTTCATCAAAAACCTCTCCTCTTCAGATAAAAACAACAACAACACGAGTGCCTCTGCTCTGTAACAACACCATGTGTGCAGAACCTGTTCCGTTACACTTGAGGTCACATTGTGAGGCACTTTGAGTTGAGGACTCATCCTTGAGTTAGAATTTAGGATGAAGTTCCTTTCTTGAAAGCCCTCTAAATCTCATCACAGATTAACAAGAACCTGTGACATATCCAATGGTGCAACAGTGATCCACAAAATCTGGAAACAATTCTCAGACGGCACCATTTAACACAGAGGCACTGACGTTCAGCCCTTTGTGCTGTTGGCTAAAGAGGTTGAACGGATGACAGGAGGAGAACTGATATCCTTAATCCCTCTCTTGCAAAGTCATTGAGCGTCAATCAAAACTGAAAAAGAGACGATGCGAAACAGGAAATGCCGCTGTTCTCCGGGAAGTAAAGGGGCAGAAGATGTCAGCTGTCAGTAGATGTGCTTTTGGAGGGGCTCCTTGGCTGTAGCAGGAATCACACTGTAGCTGCTGCTAAAATCAGTCTACTAAGATTGATCCATGCTGTTTGAGTTAACCAGTTCGACATCAGCTCTTTAGTACCCTGATAGCAGCTGAACCCGGCAGAAGCAAAAACCAAAGCCGTCATCCTTCCCGAGGGTGTGGATACAGTGGGAGTTTGAATTGTGTTTCTTATGGCTCAGTTGGGCTATTGAAATTATGCTATTACATTAATCACATGCTATATTGTTCTTTATAGATTTCCCAGGATGAAGTAGTGTGCTAAATGCCATATAATTGTATTCCAAAATATACATGAGTAGCTATAGTTGGAGGCTTGTAGTCGAGGCAAGTTGTATTTCTACTGTTACTGAGGAGGTTGTGGTTGTGTCCAAAGTACTAAAAGACAGAGAAATGTTGGGTTAAGTTACCTTGAAGCTGCAGAGTTCATTGTGGCTTCAAATAAGGCCTTTGGGCAACAAAAAGAGAGATTTAAAAATCTACAGAAAAGATTTTATATATATAAAGGCGTGAATAAAACATATTTTGTGATTATTTCTCTCATAGATTTCACTGGATTGTCCTCCAGATTGGCTAAAAATAAGGATCTTTGTCTTCTTTCTTTACATTCTTCATTGTTTGTGTCTTGAATAAGTCTGTTTACACAATAACGTGGCTGTAGCAGTATGAGCAAGAGCAAGCGTTGCGTGATCATGTTTCTGTATATGAATCCGCATGGTCTCTTGTGTGTAGCTTTCCTTGTTCTTTGCTCTGTATGTCAGCAGTTAGTTATGAACTGTTGTGAAGAGTCTGCATGCACAGGAACATGTTCGTGTAAGAGTTGAACGTGAAACCCCGAAGCGTGCTGCTAGCCTCGCTGCTAACACTGGTAGTGAATGTGCTGGTGCTGGTGTACTTTCCCGTCCACGTGTGAATGCGTGTGTGTGTGTATATCCGTGTAGATCTTCGGGTAGACCTTAGGAGCCAATCCAGCGCCTCCCTGAGCCAGAAGCAGCTGCTGATGGGCAATGTAGTCCTCATATGAAAGACAATCTTTATCCCCGCTGGCCGGTTGAGGAGGCACCGTCGGACAGCCTCGGTCACGATTTGCCGCAGGCAGACGCTGGCCCGCAGGAAGAGCAGAGGAGGAGGAAGAGGAAGAGGAGCAGGTGCGTTTTGATTGGCAGAACCAGAGGAGGGCGGTGCCTAAGATGAAGGCGACGCCTGCTGGTATTCCTATAATGACGGGCCAGGGGAGGCCAGGGGACGTTGCTGTGGGGACAGAGTTGCTTTGGGGCTTCAGATCTGTGAAAGAGCGAGAGATGAGTAAATTAACGAAAGGAAAAGCATGGTGGGTTGAGCAGCATGCTGCCAGTGATGGAAACAGGCTAGTTATCTTAAGATGCTATTAGCCAGTTATTGTAAGATAGCATGTTGTTAGCTGATGGCGATATTATGCTTTATTGCTTGCAAAGGTGAGGAAGACTGTTTATTTTGATTGGTGGCTCAGGAAGCATATAGTAAGCCTGACATGTTGTTACCATGTTGTTGTTAACTGATTGTGTTAACTGGTGCTGTTATAGACAGGCACCCAGTGGAGTACAATAGCTTATTGATAATTTTGCCACTATTATATATCAAGTTAAAAATGTATGAAATGTGTCTAATGAAGGCTAGCATTAGTAGAGTCTAGTTTTTTTAATGTAACTGGTAGCAACTTCAAACAACCAATCAAACCTGCTTGTCAAGTATCTCCCTCTATTGTAAACCAGAGAGAAAATTACACATGATTATATACAATTCTCTGTGTGTGCACGTTGCTCTCTCTTTCTTTCTCTGACCTGGTAGCACCGTCAGGTAGGCACTCCTGAAGCTGTAGCCCATAGTATTGGCTCCTAGGCAGATGTACATGCCGGCATCCTCCTCCTTGGCTCTGGTTATCAGCAGCTTGTTGAGGTAGGATCCGTCAGGACGTGACCAAACTTCCCCTGTAGGCAGGACCACAAAGCGGTGGTCTCCAACCTTTGAATAAAATCATACAAATTATGAGTGTATTGAGCAATTCAGACATATATCACTATTTAACTTGCTGCTGAGAATTTGGTTTACATGTGTGTGTTTGTACCTCTATGGTGGAGTTAAATTTGTTTTCATCACCAGGTTCAACTCTTTTAAGCCACTGAATGACCGGCTTGACATCGCTGCGGACTTTACACTGGAAGGACGTGGTTCCTCCGTAGTCCACAGTGGTGTTGACAGGGTGAGTTCCTGTCAGAATGGGTTTAGAGTTGGTACGCTCTGCAGAAAGAGACACAGACACAGAAAGTACATTCAATATTAATTCTATTTCAGTTGACAAACAAATTTAGCTGTAATCAGAATTAAAATCAGGAGAAAAGCAAGTGAGAAATGAGTCTGTACGGTGTTTATTAAATGCAGCCCTGAGAGACTATAATATGGTTTACAAGCATTATTTACAGTATCTGCTGTATTCAGCACCACATCCTCCGTCTTTGCTGAAGATACACAAACAGATTCCTTTTGTTCAGCTCCTGCCTTTTCTTTTTCTGTTTATACATCAGAATAAACACACCTGCCAGAGAAGTCTCCTTTTCAGTATCTGGTAATACAATCTCACAAGAATGTAACACAAGGATATGAAGGTTTTTTTTTTTTTACCCCAGTTTGACACCAGCTTTTTTGAAACCTTTCTCTTAAACAGAATTAAAGGAATTCTCAGTTTTACCTGTGTTAAAGGAAACTAGGTTTAGAACACTTTGCAGTGCAAACTTTCAATGCATGTTACAGACAGTGGTGCACAGGTCAAGAGGTTCGGGTGCTATAAGTTAAATTATTTAAACTAAAATGTGTTAATGTAGTCACAGCACGTCCTGAAGGCATCTGGTAAGCATGGCTACCTACAATGAAATGCAAAGGAACCTTCACACACTAACAAAACTGCCAGAACTCATTCAGCTAACATATGGAAAGACAAAGTAAAAAACAAAGTTGTTTGCTTGTTGTCTTGCGGACAGACCTGACAAAGCATGAATTCATACTTTTTACAAATTGGCATCATGATGTAGTTATTTTGGCATCCTTTTGATCCCTTTATTGCAATTACATCAGAGCAATATCTGTTTATTTTGGGTTCATACCGCTGTAGTAAGTGGGTTCAGCAGTTCATAATTACTAGCGCGAGTAATGCGAATAAACACAAATGAGATGAGAGAGGAGGAGATTAAATTAAGCCCCCTATTTTTTTGGAGCATGTGGCCAGGAATTGAACTGACAAGTATTCTTTTAGGGAGTAAGGCAATGTTCAAGAGGGATGCAGAATGCTGCATTTAATGTATTTAATCAAAATGTATTTAATCCTAGCTTTAAACAGGATTCCTAGTAAAGCAGGTGCAGACCCATTCCAACCAGATACATGATCATATCTAAGAATTATGTCCTGATGTACTATATTCAACATCTCTATTTATGGATGTTTTCTGAGGGCTTTACTGGTTTTCTGTTCTGGACTCCCTTTTTTTCTAGTCTTCTTTCTAACAGTTGTGAATGACTGACAGCTGAGTGAATCTCTACTGATCGAGAAAATGTCACATTTGACAGACGCGAGCAGTGGTTTGATTTACTTCCTTTCTGTTTGTGTGTGTGTGTGTGTGCGTAAGTGTCGTTCAGGAAAGACTACAGCTGTACTTTAATGTACAACAGATGTGTCGAGTAAAGTGAGAGGAGCTAGTCTGAGGCTCTCAACAGGGCTATCACATTCAGTAACAGTACAGTGCAGTGCACACACACACACATTCAGCCTCACCAAACAACTTAACATTAAATCATTCAGCACTAAAAACAGCTTTTGCAGTCTTCCAACACAACCATATACATCAGAAAACACTCTGAACTCATCATAACACACATTCTGCTTTCAACAGTAAAACTAGACCTTTTTTAGACTGAAACTGCAGCTGGCTCACCATCCAAACTGAAAAACTTGCTGAACATTCCTTGCTCGCTTGACTTACGTTTACTGACAACCCTGGTGGTGATCAATAAATGCCACTGAAGTGAAAGGACCCTTTTAAAAGCCATTTTAAACTTCTATTCTTGGTGCAATGCATTGGCCAGCACACTGGTGCGTGTGGGCACTGTGGCTCTACTTTACAACCAACCACACGAGACTTGCATTAAATTAATTAATCCAAGAAATTTGTACATTCAAATGTTGCTTGATACTCTTCCTGTGGTAGAAATGTGTGAATCCAATTCAATAATTGTGCAAATTCATCTGCCTAACATCTAACTCTAACATCTGCCATGAAAATGAGGCCATGATTCGGTGTAGATAAACACTTTTAACATAACATATTAAATGGTATGAGAGAAACGTGCTGATGACTCTCCACGTCTTTCTCTCTTATAACAAGATGAAAATGTGTACTCAGGTCCTCCAAACAGAATAAGCAGCAATGTCTTATGAAAGCAAAGACTGATCACTGGCATCAGACTCTTTGCCAGCAAATCATTTAAATAGTTGAAAAGTTAATTATGGTGTTCTCATATCATCTTAGACACTCTACATAATCACTGTATTGTGAGTCAGAAGGGAAACAAAACCCATTGCAAACCCTGCTATTTAGTCAGACAGGCCTCTCAGTTAAACAATAATACATACACTGTGTACAGTGTAATGTATGTTATTGTTTGGGTGAGAGACGTTCCTGCTGGTATAAGATATGCCACTATATCATATACCAGCAGGAACAACTCCCACACCACAGCTCCAAAAATTTGCTTTCTGATGTGTCACAACATGAAATTACCACCATTTTTTACATACATTAAACATTTTACATTTAGATGATGAATGCATTATTCATTTGACAATAAACAAACAGTGAAGAATTTGCCTTTTCCAGCTGTTTTTCTCAATGTTCTGTAGCTGCAACTGCATCCATACTTAAGAAGACTCCATCAGAGAGAGATGATTCATGCATGTGTCTAATGTTTGGATGGCAACATTTCAAATGGAATCAGGAATTAAGAGTGCTATAATATCCTGCTGTCACATGACCTTAACACATGACAAGCATTACTCAAGCAGAAGTAAGATTACATGGGTGGAAAACTATGTAGATGAACAAAGTTACTAATCTCTAACAGTGAACACAGAGCTCACAAATGGTCACTGTGAAAAAGACAATAACCATTTCAGTAAGAATGCTTGCTACCATCTACCATCCATAATGTCTTTGTAAAAAAGGTTTTAAGGACTGACTGACTTACATAATAATAACAACAAAGCTTCCTCCCTTTCCACAAGTAAAAAAATAATAATCAAAAACTAAATAAAGACTAATTGTAATCTAAAAAGTAATCATTTGTTATTTTCTAGCCTTGTTTATAATGACATTAGCACTTGTTCAATCTCTGCTATCCTATTGAGGAGTTTGGAGGTGGCATCAACTCTCTCCTGCTCTGTTGGGAGACAACACTTCAACTGGGCAGATTCTTCCAAACAATAACTCACGTATGACTTCCACTTTGTAGGTGGCATTGATCTCTCCCGCTTTATTGGAGACGTGGCAGGTGTACTTCCCGCTATGCTCGGGCGTCAGGTTCTTCAGACTCAGAGTCCACTTCTTCTTCTTCCCTTCCTCTCCTACTGCTCCTTCGTCCTCGTCCACCAGCGGCCGGCTGTCCTTTAGCCAGACGATGTCGGGGCGGGGGTTGCCGCTTGCTGTACACTTCAGACGCACCGAGCTGCCCACTGGGCGAGCGATGACGCGCTTCCTCATCTTTGACGGCTGAGTGAAGCGTGGACGTACTGCAAGCGGAGAGAGGGCGAAAGGGAGAATTTAAAACTATGATTATTAAGACAGCACTCGAAAACAAGTTCTATTGCTATTGGCTGCCTGCAGAGCATGGGGGCTTAATGTTCAGTTACTTAAATTGCGTGGTTTAAGACAGAAACACTCTTTCTTCATGTCAGTCAACTACAGATGGGAGAAAAAGAAGGGCAGGCAGGAAAGGAAAGGAGAGAACAGAAGATATTAGCAGAGATAAACGGTTTACAGAGCAGTTTTATATTTACAAGCAGTGTTCTGCTCTTCAGACCAGTGGAAAGAGTCTTATGTGACTTTTATAAGACATAAGGAGCGATCAAAGCCACGCTATCTGAAAAGGCTGTAACACATAAAGAGTGTTGAGAAATGTTTTAAGCCTCATGAGCGACAGCTTTTGTTGGCTTATTAGCTATTAACTATTTCTCACACAGATATTGTATGCATGTTTGCTTGGCTTTATGAACTCTGTGTTGTTGCTTTCTTCTTGCTCAATCTGACGTTTTGTTGGTTGAACCCTTGTTTACGCACACAGACATCTGCAGCAATTGTGATGCAATGTGATTGCAAATACATTTTCTGGCCCAGGGATATTCTGCACCGGTGCGTAATCTTCCACTACACACCGTGAAATCAGCTTCTTTGAAGTTAATAATAATAATCTGCATCTACACACAAGTACATTCATACCTGATGGGAAAAAGGACTTCCTTGTAACATACTGACGTGTTTCTACAAACTTTGTAAAAAAAGAAAAGTAGAATTAGGAACAAACTGAATCATCTCAATCTGCAGAGTTTTTTTTTTTTTCAGATTTAGTTCATTTTGGGGACTGAACACAAGACTTTGTAATGGCCTTTTTTTGCTGTGTGAGGAGCATCAGACAGGCTGAGGTCATGGCCACAGGCATTGCCATGAATTCCATGTTGTGCTGTAACAACATATGGCAGCGTGCCTCTTGGTATATACAACCTAATTTGCTGGAATAAACCTAATTGTTTTGTTTGAGAAAAATGTTTGAATCACTTCCCCTTCTCCACGAAAAGACTAACTCACATGACCGGGAACCTGCACACACAAACACATGCATATACACATACTAGATTCCTTATTTTTCACTGATTGTGCGCCTCTGGCCCCAGGTTTGTACTCTTCTGCTGCTCTTAAACTCAAACCATGCATCAATGAGATTCCTCTGTAGAACCCAGGAACTTGCTAAACAGCTATGTGACATCGTTGTAAATATCCTGTCATGAATGCATATCTGTGCACAAGTCATAAAAAACCAGAGCGTGACTTAGCGTCACACCAAACATCCATTCATTCATGCATGTCTTAGAAAGCATAAAATGGCCAGTTAACCCAATTCATCTATTCAAACATCCACATCCCTCCACGCAGTTGCATGACTGACCCAACCTTACCTAAACCCATCTATTCATACACACATATCCCTCTTTAAAAAACACACAACAATCAGTCAGCAGTGAAATCAGATCAAAGAGGAGAAATAACTATCTAGTAGGGAGGGAGGAGAGGAAATCATTCACAGGAGCGCTTGATTTTACAGCCCTCATGTTCTAGCCACAGCAGATAGCCATCAACCGGGGCGATAAATCACCCTGAAACTACAGCAGTTGCGTCTCTTTCTGTGGACACAGTTATTATTCTAGCTCTGGGTAAACAAACAGGGGGGAAAGTTATGTGACGGGTTTGCGCGCTCAAATGTGGAGATTTCACTACTGCTGCATTACTCAGCGGAATATAGTTCTCTGCTGACCGACAGGAAGCTGGGCAGGATGACAAAACAAACATACCCGAAAGGCTTTTATGTCTCGCCTTTGCCCCCCTCCCCACCCCTGCGTCTAAGAAAAGCTACTGGACTACAGCTGAACTGTGACCAGACTGAGTCAATAGATCTACCACAGAGTGAAGAAAGTAGAGTGGAGGAGTAGAAGACAATGATTAATAGTTCACTGTTTTGGCAATGTCCTACTTTGATGATTACATAAATTAACTGCAGTGGCTTAGCCTGAAATTAATTGGAAAGCGGAGGGAAGAGACAAAGCGCAAAGTACAGCTGAACTGGATTGGATAAAGATGAGACTAGAGAATGAACAAAAAGCAGCACAGTGCAACAGAAATTAACTGATTTATATTGTCTAAGCTGAACCAAATCAAACAGAAGTTAAGGAGATGGACAGAGAAACAGTGAAGTTCATTTTAAGGTTAACACCTACAAAGGACTGACAGATTGCTAAAAACAGACTAATAAAACTGGAGTGATGGCAGAAAAATTGAAAACAAAGAGAGTAAAACAATAAAAAAGCAAAAGGTAAGAGAAAGGGCACAGAGGTAGTAAGAAAGAAAAACAGAGAGAGAGGGGAGAAGTGAGGGCGAACAGACCAAGCAGTGATATAGAGAGAGGGAAGAGGGGAGAAGGTGAGAGCCAGAACGGGCGAAAGGGCAGGCTTGTTCAGGGTCTCAGGGGCCACTTCAACGCCACACTTAACAGTGTAAAAATACTGCTGACCCTCCGACTGACCGCCTTTGATCAGACAGTGCGCCAGAGACAGAGGGAGGGGGAGAAAAAGAGAGACTTATGATTTCTCACTTGGATTGTGAGATGGAAAATATTTTTGATAACTGAGGTAATTTGGGCTTAACTAGAGTTTAGTAATTCAGGTGAGGAGTTTAGAGTTAATGTAAGACTTAGGATTTCATTTATTTTATGTTTAAGGTGAAGGATGGTTTAGGTCAGGATTTGGACTTGTCTTAGGCTGGAACACAGTCTACATGTTTTGCTCAGAGTTAGATGAGAAGATTGATGCCACTCTGTCAGTGCATTATGTATGGAGCTAGCAGCCAGCAGGTAGTTAGCCTAGTTTAACATAGAGACTGTAAGGAGGGTGGGTATGGGTTGGACAGCACATAACTGCCCATAAAACTACAAACTGCTATTTTAGCATGGCTGTTTGTGCATGGATTAAACAAATTAGATACAATGTATCCATAGAAGGCAACCTGCGGCATCTGTAGATAAAAACGTCTCATTCTAAGGTAATGAAAACACGGTTCTTATTTTCAGATGATTTATACAGGTGATTATACACTAATGAAAACATACCTATGATTATTATATTCCAATTCTGCCAATAGATCCTCCTGAATGTTACACACTGGACCTTCATCTCTCAGATGTGAGAGTGGTATTGATCTTCTCATCTAACTCTTGGCAAGAAAGGGAATAAGTAGATTTTCCAAAAAGACAAACCATTTCTTCTAAAGGTTGAATTTACACACAAAGATTTATCTGTACATTTAACAATGAAATACAATCCAGATTCATTCGGAGGAACATGTTATGCATTTAAAGACTTTTTAAACACCAAAACACTGCACAATGGTCATAAACAGGATTTTACAACTCCAGACCACAGAGGCTATCATTTTTATCTTTCCTTGCAATGATCACAAGGTACACAGCAAAATACAGTGTTCACATTATGTCATCTACTTGATTGGCCACCTTGATGGATAATCTTATGGTTAAAGTTGAGTGAGGATAAACTTTCTGGCCGGCGACTGTAAGTTTTGCTCTGACACCCCGCTGCATTGCCGGACAGACCTCATTCAAATAAATAGGGGGCTAAAGTTGGTTTGAAGGCAACATTAGCCAAAGCAGTGACTGTGTACGTTTGGTTGTGTGTGAGCACAGAGATGCAAACAGATAAAGAGAAAGAATGTGTGTGAAATAACAAAGAGAGAGTAAATGTTTGTTGACATCGTCGTGTGAATGCGCAACAGAGAGAGGAAGAGAGGGAGAAGGGGAAGGTGAGAGAGTTGGATAAAAGGAAAACAACTAGCAAAGAAAGAAGGGTTAAGTTACGTGACGAGGGGACCAGGGAGACTTAAGGGGAGCGGGGGAGGACTGTGTCCCACCAACTCACACCTCACACAAATAGACTGCTCTCCACTCTGTCAGAGCCAATTATCAGAGCAAACAACCCCCCTGATGTGTGCCTGTGTGTATTTATGTGCCTGTGTGTGGGCATACACCCTCACCTTCTCCCCTCTGATAGTGTGCGAGGTGTTTATTGTACAATCTGCTACTGTACTTTTTAAAATGTTACACACTCTCAGCTATCTAAAGTGTCACCTCTAGGCCTCCTTCTCGTTTTAAAATGCTTGTGTGCCTGTAGTGATGTGTTCAGAGAGTGGTTACCCAGTTTTCCAGCCAACTCTGGGGCATGTTCAGAGTCACTACTGGCTGTTCCTGCTTCACCTCTTGAACCGGAGTCATCTGTGGAGGGAGAGAGACAGACAAGAAGCATATCATTAGTGAATTGTCAGCTAATGAAGTGAAAGGGAGTTAGGAGGATTTTTTCTGTTTTCTGTCAGCACCTGACAGTTTTATGTGATGCAGCCGGTCATGATGTATGATTGTTTGTAACAAATCTAAGATATCAGTGATACATTGCGCTACTCTTTGTATTTGATGCATATGAAGCATCACTGTCATAAACTGTTTAAAATACTTACACCTTACAGTAAGGATAGCAGTAAAAGTAGGAAAACATAAGCAGATAGAAAAGCAGGCGTATGGCAGGGACACTGGGGGAAAGATTCCCCGAAGTGGCAGGTATAATCTAGTCACAGCTGGTCAACAGGTGATAGCTCACAGGATTAAAGCCACATACAGTACAGAGACTTCTGGCTTTCAAAAACGTACTTTCCATCCAGTACTGAAATGACAAATCATATGATATGTCTGTCCATTAGTGTGACTTTGCCAGAGACTCGTTGCTACTGCATGTCACAGGTTAAGAAAGCTGTAAAATTATTCCTGCAAGCCCTGTAACATTCCTCTAACCTTAATCACAAAATCATTCATTCCTGACTAATGCCACTGAGAGAGCATGACCATTAATTTGTGCCTTAAGAGGGAAAAAAAGTTTTCCCAAAATTGACTTTCGTGGAAAAATAACACGGTGCACAGAGCAAATAATTTTTCACACACTTTCATACTGTATGTGCCGATATGTCTACAGTATCATGTTGCTTTTACTCTCACGCTGGCGTATCAATTTCACTCCCTCAGCATGTCTTCCCACATCTATTATCAAAAAGATACAAACATCTGTCTGGACCTTCACGCTAGCAACCGCTTCAAGATGGAACCAATGTATCTGAGGGGCCCTTTAACAGGGAGGTGGGGAGGGCTGATACAGTGCAATATCAGGTCTGTCAAAATACATGAGGGGGGGTTGTGTGCGGTTAACTTGGCTCGAACCTGAAACTTCAACCAAAACCCGATGGTAGTTATGCAAAGAAAGAAAAAGGAACCAAACAGCCTTGGACCACCTGCAGGAAATACATGAGAGTGCGTGCGTAATTGTAAATAGATATGTTTATCGTGCATGTTGGTACATATTCTGATCTGTGGTTGGATTTAAGAAGACCACCTGAAAGTTGGGAGTGTTTAATGCAGCGCCAAATGTCTTTAAAGCATCACTATTTGGATGATGGAATGTAAGATGCATTTGAAATGCAAATACGAGGCATGACCTGCATCCTCGGGGCTGGTATTAATAGCATACTGGCAGTCCGTGTGGCGCAGACCCTGTATGTGTGTGTGTTTGTGTGATATGAATTTCTTATATGGGTGTGTCAGTGCATGTGTGGGTGTGTGTTCTGACGTTATTTAACTAAGTGGTAACTTGAGGTGGCGGTATTCCCGTTGCAACTCACTCCCCCTTCCCTCCCTCTGACCCCCCCTTCATCCCTCCCTCCTGCCACATGCACGGCGTGTTCTGAGAAAGGGCAGCGTGTTTGAAGCCGGGCGGCATGGGGGTCTGATCTGAAGGGGGAACATGGTTTAGCACTCTCAACAGCTAGAATACCCTCCCCCAGGCCTGGTGCGAGACTGTAAACCTTACTTGGCAGACCTCCTACAGACCCAATCACAGAGGGGGTCCTGGAACGCTTCCACTGTCCATACAGTGCAGCCATACATCCAAAAGTATCAAAGTATTTCCCAAATTCAAAACATCTATATGCCTATGTATAGCAGCTGTGTATTGTGACACTGTAGAGACAAATCAGTAACAGAAAATCTGCCAGTGCATGTGTTTGGATTAACAATATAAACTATACATAAACTTATAGATTTCAGATACAGGTAAAAGAGCTACATCATATACCAAGATGTACATTTTCTGGTCCTTCTTTCTTCCCAATGTATATATTTTAAAGTATGGTCTGATCTGTTAATCACTCTCTGTCCCATATACAAAAGTCTTTTTATATTGTGTCTGTCTCTATATCTTTGTCTTTATCTAAGTGCTAGAAGTTCAATTCAATTAAATTCTTTTTATACGTATATTGCCAAATAACAGAATAACAGAAGTTATCTCAGGACACTTTTGACATAGAGCAGGTCGAGAGCAGAACAATCCTCCTTATAATATTCTTTACAGAGACCCAACAATGATGTGGACTTGTAGATTCAATGTCAATCCTCATACTCTCGTACACAAGTTAGTCGCCCCAGAGTCCTGCTAAAAAAGCCTTTCCCTGACACATGTGTGGGATGTAACACCTTTTAGAACCTTCTGGACCTTTTGTGAGTAAAGCTGTAACATTATCTTTCAGTGTGAAACCAGCAAATCACACCTCTGTCAGCATGTTAAGATATCCAGGCATCAGAAACAGTTTCTGCCAGTGGAGGCAGTTTTACACCTTTCTTCAGCTCGGTATGTGCAAGGTTGCGGGGTAGACTTAATGTTTCACTGTTTGTTTCAAGTTGAACACATACAGAGTGGAAAACATATTCCCTCCCTACTTCAGCTGTTTTCAATAAACAAAATGTTTTCTTCTGATCCCGTTCCACCTTCTAATGTTCAGCCAGATACTTTGGCTGGAGATTACAACAACCAATCCTCACACACTCACATGGCCACATACATACACATAGTTATGAATATGTAAAGGCAATCTGTATAAGTGAGGGTATACACAGTGTCAATAACTTTGATAAGCTAAAGGCAGCTACATACTGAAGAGTTCCGAGCCAATCAAAGGGAATACCGTTCCAGGGTTTGATCCGGGCATATTTGACTGGATCGATATCGTTTTTATTATGTTTGTAATAAGCCAAAGATTGTTTGTTTGTGAGGGAAGAATTTCACTCTGTAACATAACTGTACAACCGTGAGTGGACTGAGTAGTTCCAACAAATCCTACATATAACATATAATAAGTCTTCTCTGTAGTAGATCACATCACGTAAATTTCAATATTGATAACTGAAGCTTAAAAATCTAATATTTTTGAAGCAGGAAGCAGTTTTTGGATCAAGTAGCTTGTGAAAAATATAGTGTGTCAGAGTAAGTAGGCTACAGTCCCCCCAGAGTCTACAATTCGCATTATACAGACATTTGCTTGCAGTTTTTTAACATCATTTTGTAAAACTTCCTTCCTTCCCCAACTGCCTTTGCACAGCATCAAGCATGGTATAAAACATCTGAAATGCTCTTTTTATCATTTATGAGTTACGTTTTTGATCCTCTCCTCACACTTGTGCTTTATTTTAATTTTCTGCCTCTTTTCTTCTTTGTTTCTTTTCATTCCCCTCTCTTTTGATCTACAGGGGGGAAATGGTTCAACAGTGTGCTACATTTCACACATTCACTGGCAAGGTACCCCAGTGTGAGTGTGTGTGTGTGTATTTGTATAACCTCCTTTTGTATTTACATTTAGGTCTGTAGAGAAAAGGCAGCAATTGGACATGAGCACGCTCAGAAATATGACTCCCAATAGTCTAGTGTGTGGGTGTGTATGTATGTGTTTGTATGTGTGAGTGTGTCCAGGGGGCCAGTGTTTTCCTAAAGGGTCATGTCCTTCCAGGTTTTAATATAGAGACACTGGATATGTGGACAGAACCTCTGTGTGTGTGCATGTGTTAGGGCTGGTATGTGTATGTGTGTGTGAGGGAGAGAGATGTTTCTGTGTCAGCTCTTACTGACCGCTGGTTGTTGCAGCATCAGGGCCAAAACCAGCCTGATGTGAGTTTGTGTATCTGACAAACCCAGTAAACCACTGTTAGTCCTCTAAAACTGACTACGGTCACAGTTTCAGGCTTTACACAGGCACAGCTCGCCTCACGCTTGATCCAGCACTCATTCATCTCTGTTTCCTTCATGTCAGGGCTTTGCAGTTCCTCCAAATTCTATGATCTGAACTGGTTTCAGAGCAATGGTCTGTTATTCACAGGAGCAGTCTGCTATTCAGAAATGACAGACTGTAGAAAGTCGTAATGAACCAATCAGAACTGAGTATTCAACAAAGCTGTGTAAGAAGTTTTACAATATGTTTTACAGACTGGAAGAAGAGACATTATTTAGTTAAACCTCAGTCTCAAGAGGGTTTATTTTTGCTTCAGCAACAACAGCTTGCTTTAAATATTGCAGAGCATTGCAGTTTTGAACAAAGATGAACTTTAGCCCAACTCTACTGTATGTAAAACCATCAGAAATACCATAAAATAACCTTCGAAGTTCTCATGGATTGCAATTTGACTCAAATTTGAACTTGATCTACTGCCTAACCCGAACCCTAACTGAGCCATGTTTCAAGCAAGTTATTGTACAGTTAACTTTATTCTTTAACTGAGGTTTAAAGTTCATTCTTGACCTTGGAAGCAGTATTTTAGAGTTGCTCATCTGTCATGGTATTGTAGATGTTAACATTTTAAGGACTTCTCATCCAGAGTACATTTATCAATTTCTGTCTCTATCTAATCTTCATTAAAACAATAGCTATTCAGCCTATTTACAGCTAAATCTGCTGCACAACTATTTCCTGAGGAAGATCATATAGTCTAGTCTGCAGGAAGTGATGCATGTATCATTTTTGGCAGTTTATTTGGAAGAATTTAAGAATCTGTTGAACAAATGACCTCTGGTAGGTGCAATGATGTGTACCACAGATATTCTTTGATTACTATTTTGCACATTTATATAAATACGTTTTTACAGAAAGGTTTTTGTGAGAGACGTCCAAAAGCTCTCCCTCTGTTTGTCTGACTCTATCCCTCTCTCACACACACACACACATGTACACACATACACACACACACACACACACAGAAGGGACATGCACACACGGACACGCACGCACGCACACACACACACACACACACACACACTGCATTTTGACCCCACGTTCCACACATACTTCTCTCTCCAGCCACAGTAATCTTTGGAATATTTATTTGAATTTAGCTGCCACAAGTTGCAGCAT